TCCTACAACAACATCGGGTTGGTGTATAATAACATGGGCGAGTACTCGAAAGCACTTTCACATTACGAAAAAGCTCAAGAAATTTGGAAAAAATCACTTCCTGCAAATCATCCACATATTGCTCTAGTGAAAAACAACATTGAAATTGTAAAAAAGAAAATGTAATTTGTTTTTTTTTTCGTTTTTAAAGAAACTAAACTGGCCATCTTAAAATCTAAGCTCGCCAAAGCGCAGCAGCTGCAAAATTTCGCGCACCCGCGACCAGAGATACCCTCCGTATTCTGCTGGCTCGTACAGTGGACAAAGCCGGCAATAGTTAGGCAAACATACATCGATGTATATATGAATAGTACAACCATGATCATCATCTTCGAAAAGACGATGACGAAATGGACGCTTCTATTCATACATACATTGATGTATGTTGTGAAGGCCTACCATCTGCACGCCTGCCCGGGTCACCAACAGAACGTCGGATATCCCTGAGAAGGTTCAATTGTTTTAGAACCACCCTCAAAAGCTCCATTAGTTAGAAAATTATTTTTATTCTTCTGTTACGAAGAACGAGAAGAAATAGAAACGGAAAGACGCGATGAAAGACGACGTTATGGAATGATAATACGCAGCGCATGATAACAACCGGTGTTTGCCAAGCAATGGAATCTTGAGTGCACGATATCTTTGTCGTCTTTAAACATTTCATGTTCAATTCGTCTGAGTTTTCATCTCGAATGTGTAAGAATAACTTGAATGTCGTGCACTCACCATTGTAGCAAACGAACGATGATTGTATGAAACGGCGAATAAAAACAATACATTCGCCGTCAATTTGAGTAATAACTCATGCACTGCATATCCTGAAATAGAGATAAAGAATAGAAAAAGGGAAAATTTTAAATATATATATTTTTTTTACATTTTATTATGATATCTGATGGTTACATTAACATTGATGCTCAAAAAAAAAAAGATATCATTTTTCACAGCACCTCTTTTTAAATCTGAGAGAAAAATATACCATTCCATGTGTCGTCATCTAGTTTGTGGAAGAGTGAACACTGCATCTTTCTACCTTATTTCTATGAAAAGTTATTCAAAAGATACTCATTAGTCTTTCTGTTCTAAATGAGTATTAATATAAATATCTCATAGGAAAATAGAGTTTTCATTTTACTATCAGTCCAGACAAAAAAGAAAGTTTCCTCTTGGTTACTATGCACTATTAGAAATCCTCGCGTAGAATAAATATTTTTCTTTATATATTCATAAAATAATTCTTAATTGAGACAAACATTTAGAATTATTTTAAATTATTATTTCATCTTAATATTTATTCGTCGATTAATAAAAATCTGTTCCATATAATATCTATTTTCTACGAAATATAATTAACAAATATCATAGTTATTTTATATGAATAATTAAATTTTCATTTCCAAGAAAAATACTTTTCTTTTTAACTAGAACAAAAAAATCTATATATTTTTTATCGAAAACGATTAATAAGTGGATGATGTTGATAATATAAAAATCTTTTCACGTATATCTCTACAACTAATAGATTCATCCAGAAAAAAAAAGATGTTCAATTTTCCTCTACTTTTATTTAGAATTACGAAATCATTTTTTCACATTCTATTTCGATTAATATTAACATATTTTGATCGATTTTTATGTTTCCCAATAGGATTCCATACAAGAAAAACAAATTCTCTTACTTATTAAATAAGGTCTTATAAGAAAATAAGTATATAGGATTGATTGAAAGACTTTTCTAATTTAAGACATAATAAATTTAATAATTATTTGCTACATTCACAATCAGCTCTCAATTTCAGTTATATAAGAGCAAAATTTCTATAAATAAAAAGTACATATATAATAAAGTCTTTTCTTTCATTTTAACACGATGCATAATAAAATATGAATTAAAAAATAAAATAATCGTTTTATTAATATATATATATAATACTCATGAGTTAGATCATTTATGAAAAAACAACAATTGTGGATATGTACAACAGATCATCTTGTGCTTGTCGTCTTTATTGATGCACATCAAATATAAGGATATATTATTTATGAAAATCAAATTCTGCACTGTGAAATGTAATCTTGAGTTTTCGTAACTCTAATCAACAATGGCGCTTAAGTTTTTGGCTTAAAACTAATAACTAATGTGTGTCCGAAAACAAAAGTCATCGCCAGATATACAATAACTCCTCAACAAAAACACATAGTAACCCAGAAATTTCACTAGTCGAAAGAGGAGAACTCTATCGGACATTGTTTTATCTCATGCTATGTACTGTAGGATGATTTTCAAAATAGATCGTTAGTGTAGAACATTAAATCGAACAACTTCGCACAAATTTTTGTTATTAAAATTTACTTGAAATGAAACAATTTTCTCATATATGTTTTTAAATTTTTTACAAGGAGCATAGATTACAAAGTAGTTTTCTCTTTAATACTATCAGATGAAAAGGCTTCTCATAGGGTTCTCTTAGTTTAATTGTTGTGAAAGGCACAAGCAACACTGGCTATTGCTGTTATCAAGTTATTGAGATTACACAGAAAAATTAGATTCTTCAACAATGATAATAATATAACTATTTTGTTTTCAAGTAAACAACAGGAAATTGATAAAATGATTTTCTTTTCGTTAAATAAATTCCAACCTATTATTTGATTTCAACAAACAAATAATGTCATGTTATCTTCTGGATTAAAAATTAAGTTTTCATTTTGTATCTGTTTCAGTCAGATAAACCTAAAATGAAATAAAGACATTGATTTTCTATGACGATTTATATACAGTATCTAGAAACGTATTTGTCAAAACTTAAACCTTATGTTCTTTGAGGTTTTGTTTGGTTTGCTTTCGTCTCTGATTAAAAAAAATTTCGTATGTCAAGAATATGAAATATTCTTGAGAAATCGGTGACAAACGAAAGAAAAAAAGAATGTATGCTTTTGCTTTGTTCTTCAATAAACACGTTTTTTTGTCGTTTTCATGACAGTTGTTTTCATTTCTTTTTCTTTCTTTTCATGTTGTGGAATTCTGTTTTTAAAATCTCTTCTCGAAAACGAATTTGCTTGAATTATGACATTCTAAAAGAACGAAAGACAAAACAAAAAAAAAATATTTTCTATCAGTAAAAGAACTAATGCAACAAATAAATTCATCATGACTTTGTTTTGTTTGGACTATGGTGAAGATAGTCGAAACAAGTTCAAATATGTGGATAGCTTTTAAAGAATTGAATATAGAGTTAAATCACCATTTCCTTTTTTTTAAATATACTCATTATGATAACAGATATATATTAACATACACATTAGTAATGATTCTTTCAGCAACTGGTATTTCAAAAAAGAAAAAAAATATTGTCTGCGTCTATAATCGGTTCCTGCTTTTGAAATTTTTAAACAACTCTTTCCGTATATATCTATCGATAAATTCCACAAAATAAAAAAAGACAATTTAGCTCCAACAAAAATCGTTCTTGTTCCAAAAATGAGTTTTTAGAATTAGTGATTTTTATTTAACATCGTCTTATATATGATGTATTAAATCTCGTCCTTTTTTTATGAAATACTTCAGACGATAAAAGAAATTTCGGTCGAACCAAAACAAAACAAATCTTCCTTATGTAATAGATTACACTGAGATTGTACTCAAGTTAACATTTAAAATGTAGGAGTTTCATAAATATTAATAGAAACAATCATACAAATTTTTCGGAAACAATATGCATACGAAACATGATGATTAAATTGAATTTCTTTTACAATCTCAAACCATCAATTGTTGACGAATCTCAATAAGCACACTTTAATTTTAGCTAGCATACGTTTATCATTAGAATGAATATAGCTTCAAGTATTCAGATAAAACTCCATCGATGATGAACCGATAGGTTAATAATTGAAAATAGTTATTATTAGGATATGTACTTTTCAGATTATTTTTATCAATTCCATAATCACTACATGACCTTTCTGACAACACACGGAACTGGTTTTATTAAGTTAGGCATGTTTCAATTATGATAGAGTTGAAGTGTTGAAGAAAACATATTGTGAGTGTATCAGAACACGACATATTCTTCGTCTGTACACATATCTGTTTGATTAAATTCATTTTTAAAACAATATGTGATCGACGGTTACGTTCATTTCTCTCCTTGTTCAAGTGTAATGTATAAGGACGATTCATATGTCGTGTGCTTGTTGCTGAATGGTAGGAAGAAGAAACGTTGTTTGAGAGGATAATTGCTGTCTGTATAAACAGAAAAGAAATACATTAAAATTGAAGGAAAAACGAGCGGATAATGCACTTAAGTTTAAATTCTCAGTTTGTGATTGTTTTTCCATTCAAAGTTCACAAGAAAAAAGATGCGAATAGTAACTATAGAAAAACAATTTTTATTTTTTGTCTTCTCTTTTCTATAAAGGATTTTGAAATTGTTCGTAGGAAAAATACAGAAACATACTTTCAAAAATAAACTTGGCGGAATTGTTTTGAAAGGTTATGTTGATAATCGTTCAACTGAAAAATTTATCAATGAATCGACAAATAGTGTTTTATATTGTTCGTCTTCAGATTGAAACTTCTCGTTTCATTACAAAAACTAATTGATTGATCTGAATATGAAAATCTAAAAGATCATCTTTGTCTATGAGAATTCACTTTCAGTTGAAATATGTTTCATATATTAAAATAGTTCTACTCATGAAACTTTGTTTCATCCTCCTATATTAATCATTTTTGTTGTTTTTGAGGAAAAAGCTTCGTAATGTCTGAGAAAAGTTTTTCTAGTATAAGTATAAGACAATATTCTCTTGATCTCAGTATGCATGATAATTGCATAAAATTAAGAATGTTTTCGATATTAAGCATGTTCTGTAGAAATCGCAATATTTTTTTGCAAAATATACACAAAAAACTATGAATGACATATATTGGTGATTTTCATACGTATTCAATCACATTGACAAATTCTAAGAAATGCTAATGAATATGATAAAAAAAAGGCATACTGAGGTAGATGCTTCAGAACCCTGAATTCCTCTCAAAGTATAGAGCTGATAATGCAGTATATATTATTTCTTTTTTTAGTTTTCGATATCTCTCTATAGACAAAAAACTTATTCATTTAATACATTTTAAATAGACAGTTGTAGTGTTAAAGAAATAATATATCTAGATTCTGTGAGTAGTTTTCCATAGTCAACTGGATTTAAGACACCAATATCAAAATATACATAATTTGAGTGTAATTTGAAGTAATGGGTAAAGATAAGAAGAATGCCGTGCTTTTGACGTTCAATGATAAGTTTTTTCTTCGAAATTTATCAGTAAATCAATTGTTGCGATTATCTTGTTAAATATGTTAGTTGTTGATATCAATTGAATTGTTGGAATGAAGGAAATACAAGAAACAACAGTATTGTTTTGGTTATTGAAAATCTTAAATTGTAAAAGATATTTTTACTAAAATCTCTTCAGCTTAATTAATATCTCATGAATGCTTTCATATTGATCAATGAAATACGTATATTTCTGTAGGTACCTAAAGGTTCACTGTCTGTGAAGTTACATTATACACTCAGAGTGCAGTACTATTTTCCATAGATGTCTACTTGAGAGATGATAACAACAAATCCAAGTGAAAAATAAACATATGAATTTAGTAGTTGATCATAGTACTCAACGATTGTACATTTTTTTTCATTGAATTCGTTGATTGAGTTTTAGATGATTACCAGTAACTTGCGCCTGAACTATTGAATGTAGGATGGATATATAACGAATTATTTTTTTGTCTTTTATACAAATTGTCGAACAGATAAAAGAACCTCTTTTTTCGTACTATTTAGCTTTTATTAAAATAATTATTTCAATATTTTTTATTCGAAAATGAATACAATATGATTGACATAGCAGGAATCTAGTTTATTTTGCTTCTATTCAAATCTTTCGTCAAACTATTGTTAGTGTAGTCTTTATTTCGATTGAGTGTGGGCGTTGGCAATAATGCGATATTTGCAGATACAGGATTTGTTGTGGTTTCTCTTGAACATTTATATGAAAACCTTTTTGAATCTCATTAAATGTCAGAATAGATGTTTGTCCATTTTCAAATATTTTTTAGACATATATTTTGAAATGAAAATTGTTTGAAATAATTTTATTATAAGAATGAAAAGCATTTGTGTTTAACGATAGGATATTTTGTTTCACATATTACAAGAGAAATAATTAATATAACACTTGAGGAAAACAATATCACGAGTATAGACCAATGTTCAAGTTGTAGAAAAGCTCGAAAGTCATGATAAAACTGAAAACGTTTTCCTTTGTCTCTTTAAGATCTAGAGTGTAGGTATGGATGTGCTGGAAGGGACGAACATCACCCACACCCCAAAATTCTCTCGGTTGACAAATCTTACAAAAAGAGAAGTACATCGATATGCATACTTCAAGCTCTCACCCACACGTACATCTACAGGGTGTAAAAAAACCATTACGCCCCCCCTTCCAGACCTAAAGACCAAATAGTACCCCCAACAATTTTATACCAAATGAAAGCCCGCAAAAAGTTACGTCTAGTGGTATAGTTAGAACAAATATAGTTTGTAATATTATAACGATTCTAGGCTCAATACATCATTTTCACTTATATATCACAATCTCGAGTACGTCAAAAGCCGTTGTGCTCAACAGTAACTTAAGTTGTGAATCATTAATTATTCAGTTTATTGATAATATTGAATACTAAAAAATGCTTTTTCGAAAGTTTCAGAACTTCGTATGACCCCCATCAGCAGCCTTGAGAGCATCAAATCTTTTTCGCATCGAGCATAACAAGTCAATAAAAAGATCTGTATCATTTTCAAGATCTTTGAGCGTATTCTCCAAATTCGTTTTCAGTGCATCGTAATTGTATCTGCTACGACGATCTTCATTTGCCATTAGTTCCTCAACTTTATCTTTAATAATTGCACCAATATTTTCTGCAGGATTCATGTCAGGACTATTGCCTGGCCAAATTGAATTTCCCCAGAAATTCACATTCTTATCTTCTAAAAGATGTTGTGTTGCATTCGCTTTCATACAAGGTGCCTTGTCGTGAAGAAATATCACTTCGTTCGTATCGAGAACATTGGACGAATCACGAAGAAATGGGATCACCTGTTGTCGAAGGATAGTGTCACGAAAATAAGCGCCATCCCAAGACTGTCCATGTTCTTTTAGCACCCAAAGTAGTTTTTTTTGCAGTAAACATGACGAAAACCTCAATACATGTTGCATTGTAAACCATCTCTCGGTATCTTTCATCATCACTGATGTCTTCAATACTTCTTGCCCAAATTCGATCATTTTGATGGTTTGATTTTCTTACAACATAAATGTAAAATTCATCCGAAGGTGCAACATGTAGAAAATCTTCTTCAGTCCAATCAGTAAGAAAATTTGCTAGCCACTTGCGATCTTCGATATGTGTATTTGTCTTCAGTGGCTTGGCAATCACATGGAAAGCTTTTAATCCTTGCCGATGGCGTTCATTGTAAATAGTCATGTGACTCACCCGCTGTTTTGTTTTCTCTAAAATCTCTCTTGCAACTTTTCGACAGCTACTGCTTTTGACACCACTTGCAGAAGAGATAATGTTTCTGCTCTCCTGATTAAGCACCTGGGGTCGACCACTGCCAAATTGTGTATAACATTCTTCGATAGATTTATTCCAATTTCGTCGTACCCAATCTTCACTGCGACGTAGCTTCTCGGAAATCCAAGGGCGAGTAATAATTGAGTCTCCTGTTCTTGCAATCAGTTCGTCACGTATTTCACGATATGTGACACATCGAATTCTGTCAACGAATCGTTGCTCTTCCGAATCATGAAGCAGATTAGCCATTTTGGTTTTTCAATTAATGTACCATAGAATTTTTTATTAACTAATCAGCAAATTGTTCAACGTCTAACGTGAATAAAAATTACTTGCGCGGACAACAGATACTCAGAAAGAAAATCAATGAAAAAAGTTGAAAATATTTCGACACTCGACCATTTTCTTTTCTGTATTTTCTTCTTATCTGTTCGTGCATAAATGTGCACATAACTTTCTTTTTTTCTGTTCCTTCTTCTCGTTATCAGTCATCAATAGTAAGGCTTTTGATAATTCACACTAAACATTACTCAACTCGCTCACGTGCTTTGTGATACTCAAATATAACATTAGAAAACGAAAATTTGGCAAAATACGTGACATATTGGTCTACGATATCGTACATTTAATAAAAACTTGGAGCCATGAAAACTACGATCTATTAATACGTAATTCGAAAGTGAAGAAAGATAACTTGTATCATTTCAATTGATATGAGACTGTGATACATAAGTGAAAATGATGTATTGAGCCTAGAATCGTTATAATATTACAAACTATATTTGTTCTGACTATACCACTAGACGTAACTTTTTGCGGGCTTTCATTTGGTATAAAATTGTTGGGGGTACTATTTGGTCTTTAGGTCTGGAAGGGGGGGGCGTAATGGTTTTTTTACACCCTGTATATAAATGAGAATTTTCAATAAAATAAAATTCTTGATTAATAAGACGATAATATGTTGTATTATGAATATTTTTAATTGATGATTCAGTTGAAGATATTAATGATATAACATAATGAACAGATTTTATTTCTGATAAATGAATTATTCTACGAAAATTAGTAAGATTTGATGATGATGATGATGATGA